GCAACTTCACATGGAACGCATCTTGGTACTTATTCCTTTATTCGGGAAGTCAGCGTTCTATTAGTTCTGCCTATGTAACATTTCCGCAGTCACATACAAATTGGTATACACAATGTTATTTGGTCCCAAAAGGCTGAGCTTCCAACGTTGGAGGCATGGGTAAATTTCGGGTTCGGTTGATGACGACAACACTTGCAGCATAATAACTTCCTTGTGTAGCCGAAATCATACACTTAGTTTTCTTCTGCGTGGTTAAGCCACCTTTGAAACGTAACTCCATATTCACTTTATTCTTGGCTGCAATGTGCACCACTTGTTTTGGCCCTCGCGGTTGGCTGTGTTTAACGATGCAACTTCGAGGGTAGCTGTTAACCTTTAGTGTTATAATTAACACTAGCTCATCGTCCAGACAGTCGGCCGAACAAATTCGTCTGACATGACTAACTATAGTCTTACAAGTGTCCGTTTGTACCTCACTGGTGTGAAACTGGTGAAGTGCAGGTACTGACCGGACCAAGTTGATTTTCCATAAATGGACCTCTTAACCAATCCATCATCACTGCGGCTTATGAGTATGTCCAGGTATGGCAGACAATTGTTTTAATCTATTTCGCATGTAACCCGTAAGTTAGTATGAGCACCATTGAGCCGTTCTACCAAATGTGTGAGCTGCTGTTCCAAAGAACAGAAAGCCAAGATATCATAAACATATCGTGTGTAGTATGGCACCTGGGCTATTTCCGTTTAAAAGCTTCTTTTTACCATCTGCGTGAAAATATCAGCGAGCACAGGACCTAATGGGCTACCCATTGCTACGCCATCAATTTGACGGTACGATGTATTCCGGAAGTGAAAATCCACATTCTCCGTGTACAATAGTAGAGATTCTCTTAGCAATTCAGTTAGAATCGTAGCGAACATCCACAATTTTCAGCTAATTCGCACACGTAATCAACGGTCTGATGTAGCGGCACTTTGGTAAATAAGGATTCTACATCCAAGAAACACATGAGTTTGTCTGCCGGGTTGATATCATCCAGGTCATCAATGAGTTGAAACGAGTCTTTAAGACTATACGGATTTAACTGTCGTTTCAGTGGAGCTAGCAACTTCCCCACCCAACGAACCAATACGTGCTGCGGCGCATTCACCATTTAAAGGATTGGCCTGAGTGGCATTTCACTAGTATGTGTGTTTTGGCACCCATACGTCTGTGAAATACTGCTACCGTTTTTTCTACATTGCCGCCTCATTTGCGAACCTATCGTCAGTTAAGCTCAAGGCAATCTTGCCAGGATAAAGCTTGTTGCTCGGTCGGTTAAATTTAAGCTATGGATATTGATTTTATTATTAACGTATTTCGGTATACATTACTGTTTTATTCGGAATAGACAATTTGGAAAATATGGATACCTAGTTTACGTCAAATTGTGATATACTTACATGTTAAAATAACCAGCACAAATCAAAACGTAATAAGGGCGATGAATTTGACCAGGTGTTTCCATATTTCTCCCTTTGGCTTCACGGAATTAATTCTACAGAGTGAACAAAGTATAACGCTTTAATCTCTATTGAAAAAGCCTGCCAGGTTTAAGTCAACAGAATGCGACGTCAGCTGGTTTAGTCTAGTTGCGAGCTATACCGGCATTCGACGAGGTTAAACAGTGTGCGCCATATCATTGCTAGAAAGCTATGTATACATGCAACTAACTAATTTAGATAATGGTCGACATGCTTAACGCACAAATACACATATATATGTATATATGCATTCTTCTTAACACACCCATAATATTATAAAACGCCCAGTAGTTAGACAAGTAAACATGCAAACCAAAGTGTACTAACGTCCAGTGCCAAATGATCGCGTAACATATAACATGACAATGTACATGTGTACATCTTACAGTTCAGAATACCATTGTTTATGCTTTGTGATTTATTAAATAGTTAGACTTTATCAGCTTTTATACGATGGCAATTAATTGCAGGTGGCCCTTGATGCATTTTATAAAGGAAACATTTAGTCGAAACTATGTTAGCATGCTTAGAAATAAAATTGCCTGATTGTGTCAGATGCCGAGATCGCAATAATCCTGTCAGCCCCAGATGATTAGCAAGTGTTCTACAAAAGCAAATAGGTAAATCTCAGATAATGGAAACTTTGCGGACAACCAATTCTCAAACCCAAAGCCAGTATCTAAACAAAAGAAATATTGTCAGTAAATGCTGTTACATCCCCAGGGGAAATATCTTGCATTCTTCAGTGATTAAAATATTAGGTAGTATCCGTACCATTGCAAAATAAGCTTGTATTGTATTAAAATGTGCAACTGAATTCTGTGATATCTTCTGGGACAAAGGCTTTTCTGTTTGCAAACACTTATTCTGAGCTGTGCTTTAAAGAATCATACTAATTCAGTGTTGAGTAAACCATTGTTTGTCACATTGCACGCTATGCTTTTATAACTTACTTCTCAGCCACTATCGTTAGGTATTAATTTATTGTAGTTTTTGCAATGGAACCATAACTTGATTTTACTTTATTCTTCTATAAGGTTTCAGGCAATTTTCGCTGATGAAGTTTATCTTACTGAATTCACAAAACCTTAGATTTCAATACCTTTATTATGGGATGGTTTAAAAATGCAGTTATTACTCACCAAAAAACTAAAGGAAAAATTTAGGTGGCAGATAGAAGTAGCTCAATACTAGCTATCGTGTTAAAGCCTTTCATGCAAAAAGGCACATAAAACTCGGTCATGGGGAATGCGATGTTTTCTGATTTTGTTCCGCTACACAAATGTTGCATTCGAGACAAACAACCGTATTAACCGTGTTTCCTGTTTTTCCCGGTTTGATAAATCACAATTGGCATAAAGCCTCAGAATTAAAGAACATTTGTTTCCAAAGGACAATTTAGTGCAATCCAATTATCCAATAAATGTGGCACATCTGTAAACCAAGAGGAAACGCCGAAGCACACAGTTGATAATGCAGTTATTAACCATCCTAAAGGGATACCTGCTCTTCACACTGCGCGTTATTGGCTTTGGGGCACATGATATCGTAACAGAATAAGTGCAAAAATTTATAAATTGTATAACCCTAATATTGCAGCGCTCGCCTCACATGCATGAAAATGGTAGAATATGTCAATACTATCCGAAAATACGAGCATACAAATTTACTGGAACATATGCGCGTATGTGGGTATATTTGTTTAGCCACATGGGTCGTTAAATATGTAAATGTGTTGCTGCAGTTTTGCTTTGGTCGTTCGGACGGGCAGCGTGATTAAGGATCAATGGAATTCCTTGTGGTGGATGACTGACATCCTAGAACTGGGTACTAAAGTTTGTAGATAAAAGAAGTGGTGAATTTATTAAATGACGGGTCAAATCTGTCAAACTGCTTTTTTGTCAAACGGATATTTTTGGATTTTTATAGTAAAAACTTGTCGGGCAGAAATCAACAATTTCCTGGAACACTACCGTAGAACTATTTACTGGAACATGTAGTACACAAATCAACCGGCTAGCTGAACGTGTAATATTTGCGCCAAGCCAGGTCTGGTCGATCAGTTTGGTTTTCCAGTTTGATTTCCTTGAAAATATGCGCTTATACATACAAGTGTAACTAGTGTTGCTATGCAAGAAGCTATCACCCATACGTGTCAAAAAGTAGACGTTGATATTTTGTGTAACTCACTAGGAGTATAAAAAAAATTTAAAGTTTTCGTGAAATCTATCCAAAAAACTAATAAATGGTGGTTGAACGGTGTGCTGACCTTGGTAATTTTTGTTTCAAAGTTTTCCTCAACCATCTTGTTGACATCAACAGTGCAATATTGATTGGCGTGCAGTCGGTTAGAGTAGCCTCAAGTAGGCACAACACTCTCAGTTGTTTCTTTGGCAAAAGGGAATATTTAGTATCAGAACGTTTGTTTGCATCAATATAAATAAATATAAAGGAATTTTCTCGCATGTATCTTTGGCAACACATTTACCACTTTAGCATATCGAATGTTCCTGCTGATCATTCGATGTAGTTTTCAGTATAAAGGATATCATTCCTCAAATGTTATTTGTGCTGGAAGGGTAAACTTGGATGATAACGCTGGGTCTCAAATAACCGGAATTTTAACCACAATTTATACGGTTCCATTTTCGACGACTATGGCGAAAAGGAAAGCTAGAATGAGACCATTTCGTACTGATGAACAAATGCGCTTAAAACGGCCTGGTATGCAAATGGTCGATGCAAAATCAGGCAATGTCAAAGGTTAAGTGCACAATGATTCACATGAAATAATGCTGTTCAACTAGCGTGTAGGTTATTGGCTAAGTGCTTTGATATGCAAACGGTTTTCTATATTATATGTCAAACATTGTTTGTGAATCTGCGCGAATGATTGTAGTTGTGTTACATAAGCTCTCAACATGCACTCATAATGGAGAAACACCATTGGTCAGGAAAAAGTACCAGTGCTAGTGCAAACAAACATGTATAGGAATTGCCGTATTTCTGAATAGGTTGTGCCTGACTCCTAAACAATTAACGTTAAAGTTGGTAAAAGTTAGAATCTAGTATGTGATATTGGCATTATATTGTTTGCTTAGTGATCGACGATCAGGTGACACGGAATATTTTGTGGTTTAATAACTATGTGGGACAGGAAAAGCTTATTATATTATCTAGTCGACGGGCGTTGAAGAAATACCTTTGTAATGCTTTGCGTTCCAGGTGCTAATAAACACTATGGCATTATAGTAATGAGACGCTTTTTAGGCGAATGCGATAAGCCATAGGTTTAGAAAAAACCGGCAATCCACTACAGTTCACACATTTCCTATTTGCGGATATGTGGAGAAACAGGTCTATAGTATTACTTCGCTGCATTTGCGCTGCCGCGTAATATAAGAGCATTTGTGGTTCTTGTAGACTTGCTACAGAATTTGCAGTAGGGTTGTCATTCCTACATTGCAGAACTACTCATGAGAACTGAGAACTGAGAACTGGTGCGAAGCAGCGAGTAGAGGTTGCTCTGTGTAGCTGCATCATTCGTCGTTTTCGGACATGAACTTTTTATTTATCGTTTCGCTCTTTGTACTTTGCCTCTGCAAATTGTTGGTCTAGTAGCATCTTGAATTTAGACACGGTGTTCGCTTCTACTATATGCTGAGGCAGGTCGTTCCAGACATTCACCACTCTGCGTTCGAAACAGAGTTGATGGGCGACCCGCTTCAAATCCGGGACGATAAGTTTATACCGGTGTCCTCGCGTGCAGCTTTGTGTGCGTAGATGAAGTAGTTGTCTCAACATGGGGTAATCACCCAGATGTAATATCCGGTGCGTCATGATGAGGTCAACCCTCAGCCGACGATAAGATAGGGTGTATAACCCTAGTTTCTTACATCGGTCTTCGTATGACATACCTCGTAAGTTGGGAATCAGCCTGGTGGCTACATGCTGCACCCGCTCAAGCTTTTCTACTTCGCCCCGGGTGATGGGACAGTATGCGGGAGTGCCGTACTCCAGCATTGGTCGTATTATCGAGACGAAGAGGCGAGTGGCAATCTCTTCGGACCAAGTGCTAAAGCTGCGCCTGAGAGCCCAAAGCATACGAAGGCTGTTTTGGTACAGCCTATTCGTGTTGTCAATGGACTTTAGGTCACAGCGTGAGAGTACACCGAGGTCGCGCACGAAAGGAGCGGGATGCAACGGTTGACCAGCCACTGTGTACGTTCGGCCGTGATCATACTTACCCAACCTCATGAATTGCGACTTGGCAGGGTTGATCGGAAGGTTAACCTCTGCAGACCATGTTGAGAGGCGGTCGAGATCCTGCTGAAGTAAATCGCAATCATTGAGTGTGCGGATTACTCTCCACACTTTCAAGTCATCTGCGAACAAAGCACAATGTGATTGTAGTAGCTGAGGCACATCGTTTATATGGATTAGAAACAATATCGGGCCCAGTACAGTGCCTTGGGGCACGCCGCTGCTCGATGGATACCAGTCAGTTAGATGGTTGTCCACCTGGACTCTCCACTTCCGATCAATAAGGAAATTGCTGATCCATTTGTGCAGCGAACCACCAACACCGCACATCCTCAGTCTGTCAAGGAGCACTGCATGGTTAACCTTGTCAAAAGCCTTACTGAAGTCAATGTAAATGACGTCAACCGATTGGCCTTTGTTCAGCGCTTGTAACCATTCGTGCCTCGTCAACAGTAGGTTGGTGATGCACGAACGACCTTTCAGGAAACCATGCTGTGCGGAGGTTAACAGGTTTTTCGACTCGAGTAGCTGCAGAAGGCTCTTCTTCACAATCTTCTCGAGCGTCTTTGCCAAAACTGCCGTCAGGCAGATCGGCCGGTAGTTATCCACTTTGCTTGGGTTACCACCTTTCGGGATAGGCTTTACGACTGAGCATTTCCAGTCGTCCGGTAGTAGACCAGTGGATAGTGACCTGTTAAACAGTTCAGTTACAGAAGGTGCAATTATGGTCGATAATGACTTGAGGATTAGTGGGTGTATACCATCTGGCCCAGCAGGTTTCGTCCCGTCAAGATTTGCTAGAATCTTGCGTACATCCTCAATATTGCAGTCCAGGCTGTTAAGTTCGGCTGGAGCGGTGCTCGTCGAACTCATTACAGACACCTGGTCACTTGCGAATACGGAGGCGAAGTGCGTTGCCAATGCTGACGCACGATCTGTACTTGAGGTTAGAGGCTGTCCTTCTGAGCCTTCTAACACTGGGATATTAGCTATAGGCCTTAGGCGCCGCTTCACATATGCGAAGATCCTCTTGGGAGCAGTTTTTGCGGCAGTTGCAAGCTCCTCTTCGAAGCTTCTGCGTTTGCTTGTTTTCGCCTTGTTGCAGCGATTTCGCTGGACCTTGTAGGCATTGTAGTCCTCATCAGAGCCAGATAACACGAATTTGTTCCATAGTCTACGTCGCCGTCGGGCCATTTTGTTGTACTCTTTGTCAAACCAATGTGGTTTGACTGGCCCAACTTTCCGAAATTTGAGGGGCACAAATCGGGCGCACAACGATTTCACTCCCTCTTTAATGATAGCCCAACAGGTTTCAATAGATGAATCCTGTGGTAAAGACCAGTCTATCTGGCTCGCTGCTCGAATGAGGCCATTAAAGTCCGCCTTCCAATAGTTGAAGGTTGACTCTAGTGGGAGAGGATTTGGTAGCGGTAATTCTAAACTGCCTATGATCACTGAGTGGTCACTCGCTCCCAGAGGTTCTAAGACTTGAATGTTATGTACACGCTGCTCACAGCTAGTCAACAGCAGGTCTAAGCATGATGGAGTTGCGCGCGCTGTAATGCGTGTCGGTTGGTTGATGTGCTGTGTGGCCGCGGTTTCAAATAGCAACTCCGTAAACTTCCTCTCGACTTCACAGTGGCCGGGGAGAAGTTCAGCTTCAGGCCACTGTATTCGGGGCAAGTTGAAATCGCCCATGAGTAGGAACATCGGACGACTCATGTGGTTGCGGACATGCGGCAACCAGTCCAAACTGCGGCTCAGTGGGCTGCGATATACCACGCCCACGAGCAACTCGCAGCGTCTGAGGTGTATCGAACACCATAACTGCTCACATAGACCATCAGCGCTTTGATAGGCGCTCACTAGTCTCCCACACAAGGAAGACTTTATGTAAAGTAGAACGCCACCGCGATCATTTGATGGTCTATCGCAGCGGAAGCATGAGTAGCCGGTGATTTCCACTTCTTGGGCGTTTACGTCGGAGTTTAACCATGTCTCAGCAAGGCCTAATACGTCCGGTCGCTGAGAGCTTACGAAGTCGTACAGCACATCGCGTTTGTTCATCAAACTGCATACATTAGTAAAGGCTACGCGCAGACCGCGGTAGGACCCGCTGGGCGCGCCTGAAGTATTAGCAACCTGTTGATCCGGATTCGTGGAGGAACCCGGGCAACTACTCGAAAATTTACAATACGGAGGTTTGTTTCTCCATCCTCCGTGCGCCGCTTTAGTTCAATCATGGCAGACTTGAGTTTCTCTCTGTCTGCCGGTTCTAAGTCAGCGCGCACGTGGATCTTCATACCCTTCAGCCTATTAAGGCGAGACAATAGTAACTTGGTACTTGCTTCTTCGGCAAATGTCACCCTCATGGGCCGACTTTTGCCCTCCATTCTCTTTCCTAGACGGGCGATCTGCTGAACTTTGAGCCCGTCCTCATTTACATCGAGTAGTTTGTCAATCAATGATTGCAAATATTCGACGTCATGTGCATAACGCACCTGAGGATTAGAATCACCTGACTCAGGTGCGTAAAAGATCATGAGGCTACGGCGCCTCAGGTCATTAGATATTGGTCTTGGTTTCTTCGATGTTTGTACTCTCCAATCGTTATCCTCAATTTGTTTATCGCACATTGGAACTTTACTGTCAGCTGAACAAATAGTAGGTCTTGAGGGAGAGTCTGATGGAACTTTAGTACCTTGTTTCCGCGATGGATGCGATGAGGTACTAGGCGTTGGCTGCTTCACTGACTGTGGTGAAGCACAAGGCGAGCTGGGCATTCTAGAGCACTTCGTTGTGTTGATCCGCTTGTTAGACGTGTCCGTTTTATTCTGCACAAGATTAGCTTGGCATTGCTTACAAACGGTCTTCAAAAATTCGCTCTGAATGCCCTGAATTATACGAAATTGGTCTACAGTCAGACCAACGCACGAAATATGAAGCCTTGCGCTGCAGAGACTGCATGAAATCGCATTTGCTCTATGTCCGACGATCTTGCAGCAAATTCCACAAGGAGACTGCTTCGTCATTTTAAAAATAACTACGATCGATACGAGCAAATGGGTGTAATTAAGAGACACAGAAGTTATGCTGAATTATTACAGATAGTTACGAAGTATAACGCTAAATGACTAGCTAGAATTAATTATGTGAACTAGAGGACGACACTGTTATAACAATAAAATCAACGAGATAAAATTGGCCTAACAGGAGAAGGGCACGCTACCACTAAGATCGAAAAATCGCTAGGAGGACAAAAAACGAGAAAATTACGGCTAATATATATCTAAATTTATCACCGGAAAACGCAGAATCAAATATTATATCGAACTATATAACTCACGACAAGATATAACAATATAGGACACAATAATAATGAAAAAACTGGCCTGAGAGCGGAGCGAACGTTTTTTCAAACCGAAGGCTGTGGCCTTGACCTTGATGATGATCTAAGGTAGGAGTGATTTTGTGTTGCAGGTGCAAACATTATCAGTGATTACCCTAGTGGACAACATGCTGAGTGAAGAAAGATGGTGCTGTGACACCAGCAGTGTCTTCTGCACGATCTTAGCACATCGAACAGTGGGGAATCAACCTCGCTACCTTGAAGTTAGAAATCACTCAATGCAGTGGCTAATTTTTTCTTCGGGCTTGACAGTTTTGTTTCAAACGATACACCAACGTGTCAGATTGTATCAGCAGTGCAGTGTGATGTGGTGCTCAAACCTGCAGTGAAACTTCCAAGCTAGTGTAAATTAGCAACTGAATCGTCAACCTGAAATAACAGTATAGCTAAACATTTTACTCACTTAATACCATATGCCGCCGGAACCCACAGTTCAGCGGCATAAGCCCACGTCACGTAATATTATGTTCATGCGTTTGAATGTGAGTGGGTCCAGTGCATACGATGTACTGACGTGTTTTACTCTGTAAAGTCAAGCTGCTAGCAATTACGGCATAAGCATCTAATGTAGCAGATTTATTGTTGAGTTGAACCGGTATCAAACGTGAAATACACCTCAACATCTGTCAATTTAACAGAAAGTACCCAAGTACGCACTGGAAAAAAGAGCACAGTTATATCCTCGGGTTGCAATTTTGTTTTGAATGCTGGTGGACAATCTTGGTTCTGCGTGTAATTTAAACATTTGAGTGTCTAATAAACTAACATTTGTGTAATGTTTTGATTCGTTAGTAAATATTTATGCAAGTAGGTTTCTGAATTATAAACTAAGGTAATAAATATCTACAAGATAACTGGTCTTAAGGTTCAAGATAACAAACGTAGTAATGCATAACTCAAATAATCATAACAAATGAATTCTGTTGTGGAGAGGTGCTAATCGTATTTAGACGTGGTATATCCTAAGGTACTAATAATGTAGTTCTGAGATGCATAACGCTGTTTGGGTAACTAAAAAGGTGCTTAGTTTTCCTATTCGTTAATGCCATTCAGAAAATAATTACACTTATAAAAAAAGATAACAATCCACAAGTATAGAATTACTTTCTTCTTACTGGAATATTATACACTTAAAACCATGCATTCAGGCATCCTAGGAGTTTACCAATGGAGAAATCAATATCATGATTTTCCATAGAAGACGTGCATTTTTTATTGGCTTCCCCCTTTTCAAACATCTGTTAACATATACACTGAAATGTTACTGATCATAAACACAAGGCACCGACATAATAACATCCCACAAAACCAGTTTAGCGATGTTACTTCAACCGTCCTACTGGACATCCTACTTATTCATTCGCTTTCATAAATGGATTTGATGTCAGTAACATTGTCACAAACAAAGATGTCATTATGTGGCTTATAAATTAAGCCAGTTTTTTCATTTAAAATTATGCTTGCTTTTTTAATGGTCCATAATTGATACATATTAAACATAAGTTGCTACTTAGCGTAAGCATGCAACATGCGTAATTATAAATAATCGCAGGCTTTGAACACATCAACCGTTTATGAATATGCTGAAGCGGCCTATAACAAGCTATATAAACCCTTTAATTTATGCAGAAACATGCATTATAGTATAATTATAATAATGACATTAAAAAAGCCGAAAACCAAATTTTCCATTTCTACATTTTAATTTAACGAGAGCGTCCCAGTTTTGTAGAATGAATCTCATGCTCATATAACACAGGGTATTAAAATGAGCATGCTAACGTTCATTAATTGTAAAAGACGAATAAATACATTACTTAGGACTTTAAGTCACCAAGTTTGCATGTATCTAGTAACCTTCTGCAACATGCATTTCCACGGATGTTTTAAATGGGAAGTGATAGCGAATTGCTTGAAAATTACCGTTAAAAGTTATGAGATCGCAGTTGAATTAAAAGATTATAGACAGTGGTTAAAGTTTCAGGAAAAAGAAAAATTTAGTTATCTTCTCCCCGCCTAACTTAGATACATATGCATAATTAATGTCGTTGTTTAAAGTTTGAGGAGGTTGTGCAAATGTGCCGAATTAGTTAGTAATCGAAATCGCAAGTATTCTAATAATATTTTTATAATATGTAATGCTATGTGTTACTCGAGTTCAAATATTCTTGAGCTGAAAACATCAGCCCATGATTTGCCTACCCAAAACACATTATTCATATGTTATTTGCAATGTATATACGTTAGTGCTACTATGTTCATGTGTGTGCTTGAGTTTACCAATTTATCTGTCGGCTGGTTGTCTTAAATAAATACATTTTAAGCTGGAATACAGCCATTTCTGTATAAAAGGGTGACATCCCGTTCCGCATATATCTGTCACTGCGGCCTCCATGGGGACGGCCTCAAGACGAGTGGCACACGGAGGGACAGATAGTGGATTACGCCGCAGCACCCATAGTTCCATCAATACACCTCATGTTCTTAGTAAAACCGAAGGGATACTAGAGAAGGAAATGTGGTTTGGTTCATCTTTTTCTCAACGGAGCCAACATACGCAGCAACATTCCTGTATGAAAAAGAAACTTTGTGTACAAAATCTACACGGGGTGGTGGCTGTGTCTTAGCCTGATCCACACTGAATGTAACCACTCCTTGGGAGTAACACAGTCACGAACTACTGACACTAACTTAACACTGTAAAGTAGATATTCTGCTACTGAAAGAGTTGCAGAGCGTATGTATATAGTTTTAACACAGTGCTTATTGATTAGACGTCATCGCCTTCCAGTTCGACAAGACCTTGGAAAGTGCTTGCTATTCGCCATCAGGTTGATCGCACTGTATCTACGTTTCTGATCGATTGCCCTCTGTACGAACGCGTACGCTTACGCCTGTGATTTCTCTGCCATTCGTATTATTATTAACTCCGGTTGATTAATACTATTTTGTTCGCCCACCACTTCGGGGCATCTAACTAAATTAATATTACACCTGACCCACTAAATGTCAAGTGTTGTGATCTCGGTCATTGTCTGAATTGGCAAGTTCTTACCAATTTTTAAATAACTGAGTGGTGCCTAGTTGTATTATTGTAAAATTGTTGATCGTCACATGGTACCGTGCCACTGACCGCAACTAAAGCATAATACTGAGCTGGATTACGACGACTTCGGGCGAAGCACAGTATGACGCCGCAGTAGTGTCTGCGAAATGCACTCTGGATACTTGAGAGGGAGAGTGAACTGAGCAAGTCAAATTTAACGGATTACTGCGGTACAAGTTAAATAATAACTGGTAAGTCAGTGTCGCCCAAGTGCGGCAAATATAACATGTATGTGACGGCAAGCGCATCATGGGCGTGCTTGTGCAAACAACAGCTTCCGGATTATACTGTAATTATTATCCTTAGGACAATTGTAATAATCCCGTGCCTGGGTAGATTCTATAGGTGACGGTGGCTGTAATGAAACTCTCAAATTCGTAGTTTAAATTGAATTTAAATTAATTTGAATCTAGGCCCTAAAGTGTACTGGTATCCCTTTCAGACTCACATTCGTTCGCGGAGTTTACAGATTAATTTGCGCCGTCCGTATATCGTAATTAACCGAAGATGAATTAAGGTGTCTTTTGTTAATTGTGGGCCACCAGGGGCTACATGTCAGTCCATCATAATCCTTCCAAAATGAGCATGACCGGTTTAGCCCTTTTGTAGCCTTGCTGATGATCAGCTGAGCTAGAGCACATCTGACCGCATGCACTACAGCTCCATATAATAGCAGCCGATGAGTTGCCGTCCGCCGGCAGCTTGTGCTTGCATGCCGCTAGATCTCGTTTCTTATTTCGTTAGGCTCACGTTAGCATGATGAAAGCACACCGACCTCGGCTTTTACATGCCACTTCCGTCTAAAACCTGACCAACGTGTAATCGGGACAAACAGCGTATATTCTTTCTTAGTAGTGCAACTGGCACGACCACACTCTAGTTCCGCACCCTCAGTTACACAAACAATAGTTGCTTCGCTATTATTGGCGCATCCATTCAACACTCATACCCTAGCTGCCTAATATACAGCGGTTCCAGGCAGTCCATTGTGTACTCGTCTCTCCGGCTGATCACGTCAGTCAGTCACACCGCCTCACCAGTGAATATGCAGAATCCAGCGTGGACATTGCTGATATAAACGCTCCATAGATCTGATCGTTTGTTATGCATTTTCTATGTTTCTGCGTAAAAGATGCCGACTGGGAGGACCATGGATGTCCTTATCGTAACGTTAGTCCTAACGATGAGGCGATGATTAATCTGAAACAGAGTTTCCTGTTAACATAAGGGAGCACTTACCTTCGTTACGCAAGCCACTATTTTGCCGTTGATTCGAAGATACTTACACAACCCGTTCTAGAGTGAGAAAAATGTCCACGCGTTCTGTGGTTTGTCAACAATCCGTATATCTGGATTGGACACTGATATACTCATGTTATAGGCTCAAACATTTATACATTATTGATTTCTTTATGCTGAGCGCGAACTTAGTCTTCGCGGATGCCAGTGTAGTCGAGATAGCTTACGTTACTTCCTCGGTATTAAAAATACAACACTGGGCAACTAGCAGCAATCCGATTGTTGTTTCACGCACTAGGCTTCTTTCTCCAAACTGAGATAATTTCAGCAAACCAACATTGACGCAGTGCTGCATAAGTACGTTGTATGCACACGTACTGCATGCAGGCAACGTCATGACGGTCACAATTGAAATGAACAGATTAGGTATAAGATGCACTCGCGCTTTACAAGTGGGACAGCCCCTAATTCAACGGAGTTTTGCCTACTAAACCACATTCTTGTTTGCATGCTACGATGTAGAACTTTAGTTAGAAAATAAAAATATCGGTGCATCAGAACTCTACAATAATCATCAAAAAGCCTGATGGTTTTCCGTACTTAACATTTTGGTGAGGTCAACTGGTCGTTGCTCTTAAGACGTTTCTCATACAGGTAACACTTCGCCAGCACGGTGCCCATATTTTTCGGCCCTAGCA